AATAGTATTGGACTCAGTATTGATCCATGGGGAATACCCTGCTTTATGGTTACCATTTTCAACATTGACAAGTTGGGATCTACCTTCTGAAAGGACTTCGTTGATTTCCAAGCTATCATTTATACCAAATGTTTCTCATTTCCATTTATAGCAGTTTATGGTTTACATAATCAAAAACTCTGGAAAAATTGACAAACAATCCAGAAATACGGAGTTTGCTGTCGAGTGCCTTTACCATATACTCAATTCAAAAAAAATTCAAAAATTCACTGTTCAATGAGAATGCCACAACAACAAAAAAACAGACAGTAATTTTGACTCCATTTCCTATGAAAATATTTTTTATGCCAATAATGTAAATACTATCAACATACTGCCTGCGCAAGTTTGGAAAACGTTTTAAATCAATTCGCTTTTCTCGCTATTATCAAAAATATCCTTAAAGATATTCTGAACTATAACGGTGGAAAGAAAAGAATATTAGTTATATAACTCATCGAGACCAAAAAAACCTATTCCGAATAGCTTTTCATATTTCTACCTGCAGCTACTTTTTCTCCAACGCAATTAGATGTGTATTTCGTCAAATTTTGTCAAAAGTTATTAATAAAAGGTTTTTTACCCATTGAAAAATAATTTGGCACTGTATAACTCAAAAATTTCCTCTCTACAAATTGCATATGCTCATTCCAAATACCAGAAACATCTACCTAAATTAAATCGCAGAAGTCAGTATTTATGCAATAAAAATACGTAACGAATAATCAAATTATTCATGGAATGCTTGATAACTGTAATTCAAACACTCGGAACGTTGCATGTAGCGACATCTAGGGAATACTATTCAAACCGCATGAGAACTGTGACGGTTTTAGCCGAGAAACAAACCTAACAAAATCCACAGGCGGCGCGGCGGTATGGGATATACATATGCTTTGGCGAAATAAGTGTGTGACGTGATTATGTGATAATGTAGTGATCTCTGTTTACGATGAGAAACTCTGTTGTGAAGAAATTCAAATTGAAATTAGGTTTTGTCAATTGGTTATCCCCTAAATATATTGATTTATCATCCAACGATGTCTCACAATAATTTACTTATGTTCTGCAGTTACAAACTATGATCTATTTGAAAAACTCTGTTTCTCCGGTAACCTGCTGATGTTTTATATGTTGTCAAAGATAATAGATAATAACATCATCCGGAGGTGGGTTGAGGGGAACGACAGGAGTAAAGGCAATCGCATTGTCGACTCTTTAGCCAAGGAAGCGGCTGGACTAAGAATTTTAGGACCTAGTGACCCCAACGGCCTGATGACTTCGAAAAATGCGGAACTAGCCAAACGTCACACCCATGCTCAATCCTCAAAGAGATGGGATGGAATCAAAGGATGCTATCTTGCCAGGATCACCTTGGGCGACCCTGGGAAGCTGGCGCCGAAGAAGTATCTGGCGATGACCAGGAAAAATCTACGCTTAACAGTAGGATTTCTGACTGACCACTGTCAACTAAGGAAACACCTCCATAATATGGGGCTGGTGGACACACCTCTATGATGAAACTGTCAGGCATGTCTAATGCGAGTGTCCGGAGTTATCGTCAATAAGAGAGTGTGTGTTCGGCGAGTCTTGGCCTACACCTGCCGATATAAAGGAGATGTCTCCTAGTGACATGTCCAACTTCCTGAAAAGAACAGGATGTACGATGACCTAGGAGGACAACTCCTCGGGAGGATGTACAATGGCTCACATGTGGCCAGTGCTGTGGGCCTGCACTGTCCCTCCCTACTCTACAGATACAAAATATCACGAAAGTTAGGGCGTGGAAAAACACAAATATACTGTTGCAGTCACTATGGAAAACATTGATTGGGCCCACAAGAGGATTTCCATATAGTACATAGAATCATATAAAGAAGAGTTACTGAAGAGATTTGCAAAGCATGCTTGTGCAAAAATTGCACAACATTTAGATTTGTATTATTGAGATTACATAAAAAGTCAACATATTTGTCGAAATATACATACTTTTCGAAACCAGATTCCAAAAACAAAGCATTTCACATCAGATAGCGCTGTTTCGATCGACCAATATCTCATTAGCGGTGCTAGGCGGGACAACAAATGCATTTCTGAATGCATCTGTCCTTAAGAAGTAGGTCTGAGGAAGTAAAGCCTATCCTTTGAGAAATATTAAGGCTGAAATGCATTTGTGATGACACCTAGAAGAGTTGAAAAAGCACTGTCTGGTGATCGAGAATGCATTGTTTTTGGGCTCTCGTTTCAAAAACTGTTTTAGGATAGAATATACCGAGTCCAACAATAACTTTGTATTAACCGGTATGTACTGAAATAAAATTTCTTTAGAAATAGTTTAGCGGTCAGTTTTTTAGAGGTGGTAAGTGGAAGAGCTTACCTTGTGCGCCTGTGCAGTTGCAGTAAAATATAATAAAAAATCCGTATTAAAGGTGTGCATCAACTCATTTGTTTTTACATGCTGTCAGCTGCCATTACATAATTCTTCTATTTTAACGTTCGTTCACAAAATAAACAAAAATATTGTAGCTAATCGAAAAGCGAATCACAAAAACTCAAGTTGTTTCAAAGTAAGTACGTTTTGTTTCAATAAATGAGATGAAAGCGGTTTATTTTAGTATCGAATGGTGTTTGGTGTATTTTTCATTTAGTTCCAGGCCACAATTTAGGCTAATTTTATACTGTATTCCGGAATTTTCTACTCTTCGTTCGACAGGGGTATCGTGAGCTCTGCTAGCTTACATTCCCCTACAATAGAAAGAAATCTCGATTTTCCATGTTTTGTTTTTTATAAATCGTAGCTGTACCATTATGCTTGCCAGACCAAATTTAAATTCCCCTCTTTTCGGAGATTTTAAACTAAACGGAGATTTTACAAATTTTGTATAAGTTTAGGCACATTGTACTGTTGAACTACGAAGTTAACCTGAAGTTCTTGATATATTTCTATCTGTCCCACACTCGAAGAATATTTAAAAAAAAATGTTTTGAGGTTATCACCTTAATTGCTAATTATTACGATAATGAAGGAGCATTCCAAGTTACAAAAAATAAACATACTCAATATCGGCGATAGAAGAGAATAGGAGCCAAAAATGAGCGTAAAGATGGGACTTTCACAGATTGAACAAAAGGTTTTCATCTATGCTAGATAACATTAATGTTAAGCTAGTTTACCGTAGCATAAAGTTAGGTTAGCTTAAAGTTAAGCTAGCAGAACACACTTAAACCGATACAGGGTAGATCAATGAAGACAAAACAACGCCAATTTCTCACTTGTAGGGTAAATCTTCTGAGCATATTTTCAAACTACTCATATTTCCTCCTCTTGACGTGGAGGCAATCCAACTTTTGATTGTTAACGAGAGTGATACTTGGTTGCAAACATTTTTATATTTTACGGGCCACTTTCAGGGAAAGATTTGAATTAAATACTGATGAAAATAAGTTTTCTATATGTTCTTTAAATGTCGATTCATTCGCATTGTAACAGTCACTACGTTCAAGAATGTAGGTTAGTGTTAATGGCAATATTATCAAGAATGTGAAAAAATGTAATGTGTATAATCCATTATTCCTATAATCAACGGAAGACTGCAGAAAACTGCATTTATTTTTCACTATAAGCACCAAACTCCAAGATCTACATTGAAAACAAACAAGTAGGTAAAGCAATAGGGTCCTATTCATTTTTTCAATTACAAAACTGAAATCATCAAGTGATTCGAAGAAAGAAATCTCTATATCAGCCTCAAACAAGCGGTTCAGAGAAAGAGGACGTGACGTCATCAGATATACGAAATGTGGAGCCGGCTAGAAATCATAAGTTTCTGTGTAAACAGTGTGAAAGTTCAACTATATTTTGGTTGTATGTATTCGTCTGCTTGTGTTGTTGGAGTTTAGAAAATAAAAAGACCCAAAAAAGTGTTATAGAGTACGTGAATTTATTTATTCAACCGGTTTGTTTCTAACTATCACAAAAATGAAAGAGTTAACCCTGGCAGATGATAATGCGAAGAAAAGAGTTCGTTTAATTGAATTTTTTGTTGTTGCGATGATCATCTCAATGGGAATACGTTACATTTATTTCAAAGTATTAATGAGATGAATACATTTATACCTATGAACAGGAAGGATAAAATTGAATGATTGGACTTCAAAAACCCTTTTGAATCACAAAATTTGAGGAGAAAATCAGCCTTATTCCTATAGAATTATTCGGAAACTATGAAATAATAGACTTGCCTCAAACATACATTTCTTCACTAAATACATCTTCATTGAAAACTCATACATTAAATGCTTCGCTTTATAACACTTCTGACGTGGTTTACAGATTGTACCGACAATGGCACATATCTCGTGACGTCACACTAGCTTTCGAAAAACGTTCAGTTTTAACGATAAATGCTCTATTTACTTGATTTTTTTGCAGTTGTATTCCACATGACAAGCACTGCCAAAGTAAATGAAAAATACACAAAATTAGATTTCACTGATTTTTTTTTTCAATAGACACTGCTAATTATATCCTAAAGTTAAAATGTAACAGTCGTTTTTTGACAAATTTTATAAGTGATTTTTTTCTCGATATCTACCTGCTGCATAGTGTTCAAAAAGTAGGTAGCGGTGAAATAGAAATAAATGACATTTCAAAAGAGGTGTCATTTGAGTAATAATCCCTTTTAAGATTCAAGGGTTGGATCACATCCTGTATAGAGAGTGTAAGTAATACGTTGAAAATATGCTCAAATTAAAATATACGGATGCGATGTTTTTTTTTCTTAACGCCACCTTTGAGAAATCGGCCAATTTCGTTTTCATCAGTAATTCTTGTGTCTCATTTGTATCTCATTCCCAAATTGTAGTCGTATATTGAACATTTTTCACTGATTATTATCTAGATTTCCAAAACAAACCGACTTTCTCTAAGCATATTCGCACACAAAAAATGAGTGGCTTACCTGGAAATGTAGAATAATCGTCCAAATGAGCCCCAATGTCAGCTTTGGATTTCCGTCCACGATATCTTCTGATCTAATATTGACTAATTTGACGTTTTTACACCGAAGAAAATGTAAGGCAGTATCGATGTTATGTAACATGTGGAATCGCATCTGTCCTCTCTCTCGTGGCTAGAAAAAAAAAACAAACTTCGATTACACATTTTTTAAGGATCACGAAACAAGCGAAATTTTAATCAATACTAATGGACAAATACGGTCCTGTTCAGTGAACAGTGAAACTTCTTAGTCATGCCATAAAAGAATATTTATACAAATTAGCGCATCAGTTGCATTTTAGGTTACCGAAAACAAAAACTTTTCCCTATGGTTGATAAATACCACACCAGTCATGTTCATAGGTGTTATACATTTTTCAGATGATTTTTTTTGGATATTTATTTGTAACGGTGATAACGAAGACGTCGTCTAAGGAATCGTCAGAATATTCAACCCCAAAAATAATGTTGCAAATCATCCCCTGAAAAAAATAACACCAGCCGCCGCTGTTCGTCGTGAATCAACTGTGACTTGGTCAACTCGCTCTCAACTCTACTTGTGTTTGTAGATCTTTCTAGGTGTAACGTCGCTTCGAGAATGATTATTTCGGCTTCCTAAGACTTCCCTTGGCATATATAAACACTACCCACTCGCATTTGCAGGAAATATAGTTGACAGTGCGGTGCGAAGTGATCTAATAAATGGACTAATTCGTTGCGGCATAATTCCTTTGTATTGGTTTTTTTGGCCTTTGACTTCGCCGACACCTTTAAGATTACTGTATCGGTTACTTCGACTATACCAATAGTTATTCAGGGTGGCTTGTTTCATGCTGTATAATGAAAACAGTACTGACAAAATACAAATAGGCATTGAGTGGGTCAGTAAAAGTACATTGAAGTACAGTTGTCTGTTTCTAATGGAAAATGAGAGAAATTGTTCTTACTTTAAACTACAATTTCAATTTTTTTTTTCAGTAAGTGATCTGCAGTCCGTGGTTTGTGACTAATTTTACTGTACTAATATGGAATTTACAATAATATGTTTTTTTGGTTAACCGACAAAACCCTCACGAATATAATAAAAGCAAAGCAATTGAAAACAAATTACGTAATTTGACTCTATCAGTCAGAAAAACATGCAATTACGGCTAATGAAAAAACATTAAATCCACAATCCGTCGACTATTTTGTAATATCCATTCATAGTCTGAAGGCTCCTTAATGACTAAGCACCCGTCAATGTCTCATTATAATTCTCACTTCCTACGAAATCTCCGAGGAGAAAATGACGGCAATCGAAAAATTTGATTTCTCAACGCGAGACACATCAGAGCTGCAATACGAGCGGAGAAAGTAAAATCGTTGTTGTTTCCTTGAATCGCCATAATAGAATAACTTAAAAGTATGCCATGAAAACGGGCATGATAGGCGTTAAGCGATTTCAAGCACGTACTAAAGGCTTGGTGAGATCAAACAACGGACTAGCACTAATTTCGAGAAAGTCAAATGACATAAGATAGTTATAATGGATGCGTGGTTTGGACTGCCTATCGGGCGCGTCCCCAGGTGACAGAAAGGGGAACGGCCAGGGGACTGAGGGCCCTGTCCGGGAAGCCAATGTGGCTATATGGACGGGGTCGCAGGACTCCTGGTCAGTGGCAGAAATGAGTAGGGTGAGGGGAACTAAAACTCCCCAAAAGCCTTTGCGAAACATGCCACCGTGGACTAGCCTCCTCAACCTAAGGTGTAAGGAATCGTGCCGACAGCTAAATGACCGCAGGACGAAGGATCCCCTTGGGGAACTGGGCGAAACCTCATTGTGATCAGCCTTCCTCTGGTAATGCGGGGCTCTGCCAGAGTGACCAACTCTTTCCCTTCTACTCGAGGGAACATCCCGAGGCTGCACAGAAATGATCGCTCGAATCTATGGCAGTGTCTAGGGATGAACAGAAATGTCCATCCCAATTTACCGCTCGGAATGAGGCTGGACATGGCAGATCACCTTGTGATACAATACAAAGGTCAAGGCGCATTTGCGGCGCCGAGGCCGAAAATAGAAAGAGAGCGATAGAGACAGCAGTGGCAGCAACTATAAGTGCACCCTTCTCCTGCACCCTTCTCCACCTCCAACAGCAAGAGCAATTCCTGCGGCGGGCACCAAGAGCTCCGTCTTGAATACAGGCAAGGGACCGGCTGCCCCTGCAGAAAAGCTCCCTCAGATCTGCACCTCCACGGAGGGAACCCCGAGAAGGTTGAAGAAGCCGCGCAACGACAGTCATGTCGCCAATATAAAGGAGATGTCTCCTAGTGACCTGTTCACCTTCCTGGAAAGTACAGAATGGACGATGACCTAGGAAGACAACTCCTCGGGAGAACGTACAATGGGTCACAGGTGGCCTAAGTGCTGTGGGTCTACACTTACCCTCCCTACACTGGTACAAATACCAAATAGTTACAATGGATCAAACTACACTCACATGCACAATTAACCGCCCACCTTGTATTCCTATAACGGAGACATCTCCTTTATATCGGCAGGTGTAGGTCAAGACACTCTCTTATTGACGATAACTCCGGATACTCGCATAGGACATGCCTGACATCTTCCTGTTCATACATTCTGCATAGAGGTGTGTCCACTAGCCCCATATTATGGAGGTGGTCCCTTAGTTGACAGTGGTCAGTCAGAAATCCTACTGTTAAGCGTAGATTTTTCCTGGTGATCGCCAGATATTTCTTCGGCGCCAGCTTCCCAGGGTCTTGAGGAATTAAGCATGGGTGTAACATTTGGCGTCCCACTGTCATCCGACATTGCTCATAAGCCACATATGCTCTTTTTGCTCTACTCTGTAGGTGACAGTTCCATGTTAGCTTTCTGTCGAGGATAGTACCAAGGTATCTCACCTCTTCAGAGAAGTTTAATTTGCTTTTGAAGATTTCGGGAGGTTTCAAGCCCAATAAACTTGTTTTCCTGATGGAAAGGACCATCTCACTCTTCTTGGGATTGACCGACAGTAAGTGTTCCTTACACAATGTTTCTAATAATTTGAGCCCCTCCTGCGTTCTATCGCACAGTGTGTTCATAAATTTGCCGGTCTGCAAGATAACTATGTCATCTGCATATGCAATTGTGTAGAATCCATTATTGTTAAGGTGATTAATCAGGGTATCCAGAACTATGTTCCAGAGAAGGGGTGATGAGACCCCTCCCTGTGGACATCCCCTCATGACCAGTCCTCTCACTGTGATGTCTTCTACATTAATACTTATTACTCTACTAGAGAGCATCTTTAGTATCCATTCTCCTACTACCAGGGGTACATTGCTGGAGTGTAGTTGCTGGGTAACTGTTGGAAAGGTTGTTTTATCAAACGCTCCCTCAATATCTCTGAATATACCCAGGGTGGAGTCTTTGTTGTCCAATGATCTTTCGATTCTGCCAACCACATGTTGAAGGGCCAAATCAGTAGACCCTCCCGTAGTTTATGCATGCAATTTGGATGAAGCGAGTTGTGAACTAGTACTTCATCTCTTATGTACCGCTCAGATAGCCTCTATCAAACACGACAAGATCAGTATGAACCTGGTGAGAGATACCTCCCCAAATCTGGTAGCCCACTGTCTCTGTTATAGCGCAGGGAGCAAACCTTTGATTTTGGCTCCGTAGACACGCTGAGGTCCATCCAGATCTTTAAGGCTACTCTGCTCTCATTTGAGAACAATACGTCCTTCCATTCCTCCACTTTCCAATCTGCATATTCTCGTGCAATAGCAAGTCTAGCTCTACGGTATTGTGGAAGCAGTTGTGGAGACGAGCTGGACAATACGCAAACTTTGTATAGATTGCATGCTGAGCATTCCATCTTAGTACAGCGAGTACAGCGAGCGGATCAAAGTTGCAATGTCAGCGTATAGATATTGAGGGAGGTTAAGATCATGAACAGACAGTTGTTCATTAGCATTGCAGCACATCTCATTCTCTTCAATCCTGCTGGGTGGCAGTATAATGTGAGTTTTTGGTGTTCTAATGTATTTTTTTATTAACATTTTAGTGCGAGTTTATTGCTAAAGTATTTTTCCCGTTTCTTTACAATAAATATTTAATCAAGGTACCATCTTTCCCTCCAACCGATTTCCTGGAGTCTTTGAAGTCCACTAGAATAAAATTGTCTCGTTAATAGCCAAGCGAGTACTGAGTTGCGACAATAACACAGTAACACAACTGCGACAATGTCAAACAACGACTAAATTCAAAAAACCCGTCGGTGACACAAATTTAGAAGACGAAATAACGGTATAAATGGTGCTAGAGCACCATTTATCAAAAAACAAAACAACTGATAAGCCATAGTTAACATAAAACATACTGGGCGACGAATGATATAAGTGGGCGGTTAATTATGCCGGTAAGTGTATATTATGGTGAAAGATCTACACCTTTCGTCATATTTGACAAAAATATATCAGTATGGCCACTTCAATACGAAAAATGTATCACACTTGAAAACCTATTGAATGTGGAATGCCTCAAGGTTCAATTATGGGCCCACTATTATTTGTAGTCTATCCTAACGATTCCTTTGTAGAAGGCAAAATGAATGAATAGTACACAGTTTTCCAACTAACATCTATATGGTTTAAAGAACACTGTGTTGAACTTTTAGGTCCCTTCCATGCATCTGTAATTTTTAGTGGGAAAACATGCATCACAAAAGGACACAAAAAATTGCAAAATAATGAGTGTTTTTTCGCTAGCATACCAGTAATAGATAATTTTATGATAAACGAGACCACGAGATTGCTATTATGGGTTATTTTAAAGGTTATCATGACAAATTCACATAAGAAGTTGCACTTCTATGCAGCACTGTTTATTGTGATAATTATAATAACCTACCAGATATCCTACGCAATTACTACTACGTTTGTTTACCATCCTCAATTCCACCTTGATTTGACTCTAAAAATATTCTATTGTTTTCAATTTAGCATGACTGGATCGATAAATGAATAGGTATTGATACTTATTTAATTTATTCAAGAAACGGTTCACATGAGATTTTCACTGTTTATTTTCCAGACTAGACTAAAACGAATAATTCCTATAATTCAACAAAACATCTTATACGG